GGACAAGAAGCAACGGGTGGAAACTAATCAAGGAGAGAAGCAATCTAGAACTAAGGAGAAACTTCCTGACAGTGAGAACAATTAACCAGTGGAACAACCTGCCTCCAGAAGCGGTGAATGCTCCAACACTGGAAGTTTTTAAGAAGAGACTGGACAGCCATTTGTCCAAAATGGTATAGGGTTTCCTGCCTGAGCAGGGAGTTGGACTAGATGATCTTCAAGGTCCCTTCCAACTTTACTATTATTATTATTATTATATCCATTTCCAGGCACAACTTGAACCCTTAGACATAATAGTAATGGGAGTCTCTTGGAAGACACGGATATACACTACAGGAAAACAACGGGAGCCAAGAATGCTACCAAGGTACATTTTGTCATTCTAGCTTTTCTTAGTTTTTTTCCTCAGAAATAAAATAAATAAAATTAGCAGCAGGAATACATAGGAGATTTACAAGTGAAAGGCAAAATCATCAGGATCCTTCTGCCCCACATGAAATGTTATATCTGAGACAAGAGCATTGCACAATAGAATATCTGGAAGAATCTAGAACCCCCTGCCATGTCTTGTTTACTATTTATGTTTTTCAGAAAGTTCAGCATTGAAAGAAAAGAATTCTCCTGATCAAATGAATATTTAAAACCATAACAACAAGTACTTGCATGAAAGTACGGCACGGTATGAAAGGTGTCAGTAAAATAAAGTGTTTTATTCATTTGTTAAAACTTTGGGAATCAAAATTTTAGTAAAAGTTTTAACTTGTGAACAACCTGAATATCTACTGATTATTTTTTTTTTAAAAAGTGCAAATAAATAAACCAGCATTTTGGACACACAATTGCCTCAAACCCTCACAGTAATCCACCTATATTTTGTAATTAATTTCATTCACAGTTTTCTTCCAAGGCACTAAAATGAAAATAATTTTCTAGGATAATTATAATTTGTTTTACACTATAGTTGTTACTAAAGGAATACTTACTAAATTTCCTTTTGGTTATTTATAACTTGGAACTCTAGAATAAAGCTCTCTGTCCCCTCATCAAAAACCAGAATGCATAACTGAAGAGAAAGGTTACTAAAAGTCAGACTAGATTAAAACTGGGCCAATTCCTGTATTATTTCTAAAATCCTTCAGTATTTTGTAAGACATTTTTGGATCCATGTTAAGCTACTTTCAACAACATTTTTATATGAGGCTGTTCTGTTTAAACACATAGCTAATTTTTGTTAAAGAAACATATATAAAATACCGGCATTATTCTGTCCAGTGCAGGTTTCCTTCTCATGTTCTAATCTGATTACAATAAACTTCCCCAAAGCAAGGTAAAGAAATTACTTGAGATGATATAAAAATAAGTGTGTGAAGATGTATGTCTCTGAGCCCTTATCTTCCTTATAGCCCATATCTGAAGACTAACTACTGTGGTATTGTAAGCACTTGTAATTTTCCACTTTTATGCCTTTTGCAGTTGGTAAATATTTGATGATTTATCAATGTCAGTCCTGGAACTTAAGCAGAGCGGTGGAAAAGGAGTGGATAAACTCTCTTGGGAGCATTATAAAGTTCCTATGACAAAATCACCAGCAATATAAAAACAAGTGATTTACTCTTTACATTGGGGTGGAAAGAATTTGATGATGACAAATTCATAAAATGGATTGTGAGGAAGTCCAATATTACATTTTGTATGGCATTTTGCCATATGTCTTCAATGACTTGCTTTCAAACTCAAGTCCTTAAACTAAGTGATAGTAACGTTCAGCATAGTAGATATGCATCTGGTTGTTGTTGTGCCCCAGTCAAAAGTGATGCTAGAAGTGGCCCCTACTTCCGCTTCTGAGATCATTTTACATCCACTACATAAACCATTAATTTTCATAACATATTTTTTTTGGAAATCCAGACAAACATGCTTTAAATCTTTATATGTCAGGAAAAAGCATATACACAAACCTTAATTACGAGTGAAGGGGCACCATTGTAAACAAAGATCAGTAGCACAGTGGTACAGTAGATTGTCAAGAAAACCAATACAAGTGAAATACAGATTCATTTGCCTTTCATGTACATTATTGCCATATACAAGGAAGGAAATCTGTAAACTCATAATTGTGAAGATTTATTAATAAAGACCGAACAACAAGTGAGTGCTCCATCTACTTTTTCTAGCTCGGTGTTCGCTATAGGGATCAACATGTGGTCCTTCAGTTTTTCAAATACCTATTAGGAAAGAAAATGAAAAGTTATGAATATTTTTTTACTGAATCTTTATCATTGGTTTAGAAATTTTCAGTCAGAATAGTTTATATCTTAGTAGAAAACTCTCAGCAAACAGTGGCATCTGACTGACCTTCGTGCTTGGAAACTAGCAAGACTAGGTCTGAACAGTCTTTGAATGTAATGCAACAGGGAATCCCAAGGCTGTCAGCTCGACTAAGAAACTAGAAAAATATCCTGGAATAAGGCCATGGGAAACCACTTCTATTCTGTTGCTAAGTCGACTATATGAACATATCCATGCAATCAGTAGGAATTAAAATCAACTTGAAAGGAATCTTCTTCTTTTTTTTTACCTTAGTAAAACCGTTCAGCTTTAAATTGGATACTCTGGCTCAAAACTGGAACACTTGGCATTCAAGTTAGGATATTAATACACTTTAGGAGAAGGGGGAGCAAAAGACTGATAAATGTGCTATTGTGTCATATTTTAGTTCATATGATATATGTCATTGATATGTCATATGGCAAGACTAATGCTGACTTTGATTTCTAATACAATTATGCCTAAAGTCATGTACTGTAGCTTAAGATATTAGTGGAGTTGGGGAACAGAGTGTTTTATGTGGTCACACCCCAACTCTGCACTCTGTGAGTTGCAGCATTGCTTCAGATCCAACATGTTAGGCAATAAAAATTGTCAAGCATAATGTTGCATTTTCAGTAATATCAAGATTAAATAAGCAATAAAGACCTGTGGATATGCATCTTCGAAGTAAACTGTGAGTTAGCCCAAATTATAAAGCCCAAGTTCAGGACAGGTGTCACAGATTTACATTTATCATGTTTGTTGGGGAGTGTCAGTAAGGTAGGGGTTCCCAACCTACTACCGGGCCATGGCCTATTTGGAACTGGGCCACACGAGCGGTAGGCCAGTGTGCATGCATGTGTGCACAACTCAACTCATGCAAGTTAAGCTGTATGTACGCGTATGTGCACCAGCCTGCCACTCACGCAGTCCAGTTCCCCCCCTCTCATCTAAGTCTGTACAACTTTTTTTTTTCCAAACAATTTTATTGGTTTTTCCATTTTTGCACCAAGAAGCTTAAGAACCAACGTGGAGATAGGGTAATCAGTTGAATCTCTATCAATTAACATACTATAGTCAAATTAAAACATTTCTAAATAAAATTCATTCGTTAATATATTCCTAAATAAAAATTCCATTAATCAATAAAAGTTATCAGCAACCCATTACCTATGTAAATCAAAATCCTGTTTTCAGCTATTATTAATTTCCAAATACCATATCCAACTTAGCCTTAAACAGACATATTATTTACCATTTGGATGTCCCAAAGTTCTCTTATTTAAACATATTATTTCCATCATTACACTTTTACATTTCTTAACTATATTGTTTCTTATTCAGTAATTCTTCATTTGTTAATTTCATCTCTTCCATTATTGCAATCTTTTTCTCATTATACCTCCACAAATTAATTATCATACCTAATAATAAAAAAACCATAAGAAAATAGAAAAAATAGTAAAAAAAGACAGAAACAGACCAAGCAGAAGAAAGAGAAAAGAAGGAAGATCCATTATTCCAAAGAGTGTATTCTTACTATTTCAATACTAAATTCAAAATCTTATCCTAATAACACCTCTTAAAAATCCAAATCCAAATCAATCCGCATCTCTATAAAGCCTTTGCAACCCCATAACTGTAATCTTAAATTCCATATTTACGGTATATCTTATTCTAGCTTTCTTTCTATTCCAAACAGGTTTCCATAATAAAGACTCTAGATCCACAAATAAGTCTCCCTTCATCTCTAGCCGGAATACGTAAACCAAAGGAAAGTCTCCCATTGTCCATTTTAATAGGCTAGAAACAAAGTTGTAGCGATTCTCGATAGCTCGTAAGTGGACCTCAATCCCCATCCTTTTTGAAGTTGCGTATAGTTTAATTGCAGTCACTTTTGAATCATCCAAAATCTGAATGGATTGTATATAAGATGATGTATAACTCTGTACAACTTATTCAGCTATCCAAAAAATGTTCCCTAGAAACTGACATAATATGACATAGGATCAAATGCTTCACTTGGGGCCAAGTCACTTCCAAGCATATTACCAATAACACTCAATGATAAGAAAAATGGCCATGTATAGCTTAAAATTATGTTCTGATCTATTTGAAATAATATACTTAAAACTCAGAGAATGACCCCTTTGCAACAGCATCATCGCCAGACCAACAGAACACTGGGGTGCACAGCATTCCTATGCTAAGAATAGCACAAGTGTACACACAGATTTCTATATGGCATAATTTGTTGAATGTCTAGGAAAACCTTTTTCATTTCAAGAAACTCAAAACCTAAACAACAAAATGAGAAAATAATATGGGAAGCCAAAGAATGAGAGGCCAGGTTGTGAACAAAGAATAAAAGGGTTTCCCTGTCAGTCATGTCTGATTCTAGAACACGGTGCTTATCTCCGTTTCTTGGTCAAGGGAGCCAGCGTTATCCAAAGACGATTTCTGTGGTCATGTGGCCAGCATGGCTATATGCCAAAGGTACACGGAATGCTGTAACCTTCCCGCCAAAGTGGTACCTATTAATCTACTTGCATTTGCATGCTTTCACAATGCTAGGTGAGCAGGAGCTGGGGCAAATAATGGGAGCTCACCCCATTGGGTGGAGCTCGGGTCTCAAACCCAAGATATCAGCTCAACTGAGAAGCCCAGCATCTTTCCTGGCAGTACTTCTGGGGGGGACCAAAATGGTGAAGGGGCAAAAAAGGCAAGATGGTGGAAGCTTGCCCCATTTTTAAGTGCATTGTAACAACACTTCTACTATCTAACTTTTTTTTTTGCCACTGCCGCCACCTGCCAGTGCTGGATTGTATTTATTACATTCTGTTTAATACCATGCATCCTCAAACGCTACCAGTATTATTATTTTTTTTGCTATTTTCCTTATTTCAGTGGAAGCAGTGTTTTTTTTTTGGGGGGGGGGGGTGGAAGGAAGGATAGTCCTTGAAGTCAGAATTACAGATTCAATGCTTCTCTCCCGAGCAGTCTGGACTTACAACTGATCAGCATTTTATAAGAACGGGTCTAGTCTTTTTGCCATTACCTTTGCACTTTCTGGATATTCTTCAGGGGCTCGATGCAACAAAACATGACCTTTGCCAGGAATGTTTAAATAAACACAGTTTGCTGCTGCATCATCAGGAACTGTAAGTTTGTCATAACGATGGTCGCTCATCTGCTGCATAGTCTGTTATAAAAAGATAAGTCAGGATTATATAAAACAGGGCTTCATTACTCTTCAGAAATTAAGGAGGGAAATTGTTTTATTTTTAAAAAATTGTATCAAAAACTGTTGTAGTGTAATGTGACAGTTCCCAACAAGAAATTCACCTTATACAAGTTACAGCAAATAAAAGGAAACCAGGAATATATGCAGAAGGGTTTCTTAACACAAATTCTAAATGCTCAACATTTCTGAAAGGCAAGCATATTACTATCTGGAATATATTAAGCATGTATTCAAATTCGGATTTGCCACAATTAATATAAATTTGTGCATCCCTTACCTATAAAATTAAGGTACATAAGATTAGCCATTGTGAGTTAATTCATACTGTTCTGCTTTATTTAGTCAGACTTGCTAATAGAATCAAATAGTCCTACTAACAAACTCAACTTTTCATTTGTGAAAGAAATCATATTTGTTCCTAGTAAACAATTTTGTTTTGTCCTATTTTGTTCTTTTGGGAGAAACATTTCAAAGTATCCTACATTTGTCATACTGGAGATTTCAAGAATACATCTCCTAAGGAAAAAGTTGGACATGGAATAAAGGAATTCATAAAATTTATTCTAGTTTTACTTCCTAATTGAAGTTTTAAAGAATATACAGCACTGCTGAAAAAATATTAGCCTGAAATTTTGGCTCAAGTCAGTTTTCATTAAAATTAAATACCAAAGCTACTGAACCACCTTGATTTTAGAGAAAAAACGTTATGTCCTCATGAAAGACAGGCATAGATTTAGATTTCAAATGTTATGTCTTATCAGTTCAGTACTAGATTTCACTTGATCTTGAGGCAGCTTGGTTAAAACTAAAGCAACAGGCCCTTGACAACGATACTCAGTATGACTTAAGAACAATCCTCCATTTTGAACAAGTCAGTCCTATTTGGAAGACACATCTCTCACAACAAATATTTAGCTGATATTCTTTGCCCTATGGGCAGGAGAGCTCTTATACACAACCTAAGATTTTTTTTTCTGCCCTTGCTGTTGGAAGATTTAACAACACTCTCATGCAACAGTAAATTTACACTGCCCATTACAAGAAACAAAATCAGTTTCCTGCATACTTGCACAGTGCCTTTTGTATATATTTGGTAAGGGAGAGAATGCTCTTTCTTCTCTCAGCTGGCAGGTTATCTTAGATATCAAGCTCTCTTTTTTTTCTAAATTTCTATTGCTAGTCAAAATTTAGTAATGTGGTAATTCTGTTGATTGTACAAAAAGGGTTGTATTTTTAATGCATTTAGTGTTTTGGCTAAGTGTGGGTTTGTTTTTCTTGGTTTATACTTTATTTTTAACCATAAATAAAAGCAAAAACTTCTAAACCTGCAGTGTCTTTCCAAAGGGAAAGACAAACAATGCATGTCAAGAATTCAGGCAAAAGAAAAAAAAAATACAAGAAAAAAGACTTGCAGTACCATGGACAGATCCTTAGGTGCAATAGATTTGGTGCAATTAATACAGTGCCAAAAAACCCTTCCTATTTCATATTCCATTTATAGAGAAGGGATGTTTAAGTGCAAAAGATATTTTCAGAGACGATTATTACAACTAATGACAATCAATATTTGCTATTTGAGGTAGGTGCCTCACTCTGCCAAACAGTAAGGCTAAATCTGCTTGTATTTCTTTGTATTTCTTCTTCAATATACAAATCTATTAACAAATATAATGATGTGCAGCTTAATTCGCTGGATGAATTAACTTCTATGCCTTTTGTATACCATGTGTATATTTGTGTGCGCACATTTTATGAGTATATATGGGTATATATTGCACAATAGGCCTTTGGAAATATCTGTACTTGAATGAAAAATGGCACGTAATCTTTTAACAAGTCCATGGAATTTCTAAGTACAAGAGTCTTATTAGCTACATTGGAGATTGAATCATAAAATATCCTGTGATGAATCTTAAGCAATGTCTTACATTCCTGAGGAAATGTCATCATTGTAATAGAATTTCATGTTTCTTCACTAGCTAAAATGTTTGTGTGGTTTTCTTACCATTAAATTTTGACAATATCTATCTTATATAATGTAAATATAAAAATTATAATCCTCTCTTTTATAATGATTTCCCAAAACTGCATATCCTGGAAACCTCAGATTGTTCATATCTGTTAAGATTAAACATATAAATAACATAGTTTATTCCCAGCCAGAAAAATCTTAAAAAGAGGAGATAATTTTTCCAGTATAATATGCATGCATTTCTTTACAGTGTACCAATTCTGAAGATAAGTAATTGCTGGTACGATGCCATCATTAAAAAAGAACAGGCTTTCAGCTGCAATCGCCCTGTGCTCTTTTTCAAATTTAGATAAAACAAACAAGCATCACCTTTTTTCAGATTTTCTTCTTGCAATTCTACCCTTCAGCTAAAGCTTTAAACATATTTGATCTTTCAGATGGGGAACAAAGGAAGAAGGCTAGTCAAGCACTGCATGCAAGCATTTGTCACTCAAATATTGCCTCTAATTCTCTGCATTAGAAAAGCAGTAGTTAAGTTTCCCAGTCTTGAGGTTGGTGACAAAATTGGTTTTCAGTACTGAAGAAGAAAAAAGGCACAACAAAGACAATGTGTATTGCAGCAGTCTTTGCCCTGTTGTGCACTTCGTTTTGTTAGAAATGAAAAGGTAATTGAAATTAAAAAAAATGATCAGTGTGTGATATTATGTACATTGACTGGAATAAATTCAACTGAAATCATGGAGGCTTGCTTTGGAATATGCTTATATAAAGTAAAAATGCAAGTCCTGATAATACATACCCTTCAATTTTCATGCTCCTATACAGTATGTGCTGACATTTCAACTAGTGAAGCAGATAAATCCAATAATCATGCAACTAGGATGATAAATTATGCAAAGTTTGCAAATATATAGAAATTAATTTCTTCACATAATACAGGAACCAATCTGAATCGGTCACGGGGACCACAGGTTTAGTCTTCCGAGCTTTTAGACTTGTGCTGGAGCCCATCTGCAAGGAACTTCTCTCTACTGCAGCCTGGCAGGGTGGGGAAAGGGAATGGTTCCGTGTGAGTGGCAGGCACGCGCGCAAACTCACGCAACTCCATTTGCACAAGTGGCACATTATGTATAAAAATATTCCAAATTTTGATTCTTAAGAGCAAAATGTGAATTAGCTTACTTAAGAATTCACAAAGGACTATATTAGCTCTGTCCATAACTCCATCCATCTAAGCTCTGTTTATAATTTATGGTAGCATAATACTGATGTATCAATTCATAAAAAATAAAACTGAATTTGATTTGAACCAATAGGCTGTCTTTATTGCAAATGAAAATAATAATAAATACAATAAATAAATAATCCACAATTGATTTTTTAATGAAAATTTTATGAAAACATTTAGGAATGTTTTGATTCAGCCAGCTTGGTCATTTAAACAGAAGGCACAACAATAAAATACATTTGCCTTTGTTTTCAATATACAGTCTTTAGAAAAGTCATCTTCTCTTGACAATAGTTTCTGCAGCTGATACATAAGCTTTCTTAAAGGCAGCAGCAAATTAAATCAAAATTGGACAATGGAATAGTCATTTACATATACTGTACTTATGCAAGTAATTATGGGATTAGTTGGGTGAAAAATGTAGTTCTGCAAACAAGTAAAACTTCTTTTTAGAGCTATTATGGTACATAATAACTTTTGCCATAGTGGGCACAAACTAATTTTCTTTATAATGCTCCCAAAAAATCTCAACAGGAAATGCAAATCCATCTCTCCCCAACTCTTTCTATCAATTAGTAACTAAAGAACAGTTGTAACAGATTGGAATAATGTTACAGAAATGCCTTGGAATGCAAATATCAACAGAAGAAAAACAATGAACATTCATTTTGCCAGATCATGCTATTTGTAAGCAGAGGTTTGTGGAAAATTTCCTTGTTTGTAAAGATTATAAGAATTACAAATTCATTTTATGTGAGTCTGATTTCCTGCCCAGAAAGATCTTTGCATGATGGGTTATACTAGCATTTCCTGCATATTGATTCTTTCTGGGAATTTTCTCTCTCTATAATCATTTTGCTGCATATTTTCTAAAGCTGAGTCATGCTTTTCTGATGTCTAGCAAATTAATCTGCAAACTTCCCAATCTCATTTTCCCCAATTGTGTTTTGCAAAGTATATTTTGCCATGAAAGGTCTTGACCAACGAGTAAATGCATTAAAATGTGATTAGGAAAGTTCCTAAAATAAGCATCATATTCTTCTATCAGTTTGTCATCCTGGCTTTCATTGTGAGTTGAGACCCATTTCAGTAACATTAATGAACAATATTTTAATTGAGAAATGAAATACAACCACAAAAGATCTTATTTAAGCTATTTTTTCCCAACAAAAGGAGGAACGCACATGAACAATTTGCTATCTGAAAAATATAGGAAAATTTTACAACTTGATAAGGCTCCAAGCTTGGGCAGATAAATTAAATAATCTTTTCATTAATACAAAAGATTAAAATCTGTATTGCTTGTATGTATATTATAAAAAAGTTAAAACATTTTTTTAAATCAACCACTAAATGTCAACTAAATGACCGACCTGCACCAAAAATAAAAAAAATCATCACTGAGTTTTAAAAATTGACAGATATCAGCATAAAACAAATCACATCACAAAATACAAAACAATGAAAAGCTGACATAACAAACCAGGTGTGTTAAAATGCAAATGTCAGAAGGATTTATTTGTTTCCTCATTACTATTCAATCCTAGGCACCAAGCGCCAAATATAGGTAGTCCTCAACGTACGACAATTGAGCCCAAAATTCCTGTTGCTAAGTGAGACATTTGTTAAATGGAATTTTGCCCCATTTTACAACCTTTCTTGCCACATTTGCTTAGTGAATCACTGCAGTTGTTAAATTAGTAACACAGTTATTAAGTGAATCTGGATTTCCCCATTGATTTTGCTCATCAGGGTAAC